AGCTCTTCGACTGATCACATTATCACAGAGTAAGTTGAAACTAGCCTCTTTAAAACTCCCCCACGAAGCAAGGATTGTTCCAATGCGGCTCTTAAAATTACTACGGAGCTTGATCCAAACAGTAAAGATGAGCCAGTCCTTGAAGCACAACCGACTCCCAGCACTCAGAATAGTGATTTAGTTTGTAATACCCGAGTTACCTGAAGGTTTAGTCTCGTCTGTAATGAGGCCTTTGGAAGGCGCTTGGGGCTGTTCGTCTGTAGGGGTCATAGTAGACATATCCATTACGGCTCTTTCTGACACGGGGGACTTGTAAGTCCGATCACACGGTTTCAACAGACAATCTCGGAAATTAACGGCCAATAACGGAACGTTTATTAAATCGAGGATTGGGAAATGGACGAATCGCGGTTTTGGGGGTCAATGGGTAAAGGGGGGGAACGACAATGGAGCAGGTAAAACCAGAAGGTATACACGAGCCTTCCTCTGATTTATCCTCCTTCCTGTCAAGGGGTCGGTACGCGGGATTCCACCTCCTGCACGTCCGCTTGTTGATCCGTCACCGTGGCTTCAAAGGAAGCGTAATGTCGCTCAGGAGAACGTTAACAAAGGAATTAAAATAAACTTAACTAAAAATATGCGTCCTTTACAAGTTAACAAACCTACATCGAATCCATCCTGTTACCGCGCCTGTGTAACGCCTCTCGACTTGAACAGTATTGTTTGAATGTGTGACACTTTTCCGCGCGAGGACCTAGGGTGGAGATGGCGTAATCGCGTGTCAGTGAAGATGGCCGGTGTCCCTTCCTCTCTCACCCGCCGATCCCTTCCCCCTTACCGTACCGTACCGTAAAGCTCGCATCGCTCTCCGTCTCACAACATCGGCACCTCCCTCGGCACTCGCCTGCAGTTGCCCACGGCGCTGCTCTCCCCACCAACTATTTAGCTGGCATGTCGGTATCGCCTCTTCACCCAGACAGGTTATCTGATGGCTGTAACTCATTCCAACTATACGAGTAACTATTATTATTATACATATCACCCATGACCGTCTTGTTGTATTATACTGTATTCCGTTCCTGACATACCATCTTCTGCTGTGTGTGTGAATGAGTATTCAAAAATGCTAACGACTCTGTTCTGATCTATCTTCTCCAGGATATACTCTCAGCGTTCTCTTACTCTGGTTTGTGCTACCCTTGACGTCCTCGGCCGCTACACCCGGTCACTCAGATTTGACTTTGCGGTTAGGTCAAATAAGCCCTATGACAGTTCAGGAAGATCTTTACCTGTTCCTATCCAGAATTTTGAACTTAACGTAAACGCCGCCGTTGTGAATCCCTCTGACACGCCAGCCTGTATAATGCAAGTATATAGCATTGCTGGTAACTTTTCCAATCCCATTGCTAGCCTGACACCCAAAATAGTAAAGTCCTTTCCTGATGTTAACTGATTCTCGAAACCATTACGTCCGCTACCTAGCATAAACTACCCCTCATATTATGCTGACAATTCCCAAAATCCTATTTTCATGCATCCTATTTTTCCAACCCAACAAAATATTATTCCTCTTTCAGGGTGCTCCTCAAATATTTTTCCATACAATGCTGCATCTCCAGTTAGTTGTATTTACCCCACAAAATTTAAACCACAGCAACTTTGTCCTCCACCAATTGCTTCGTCCCAACAGCTTAATTTTCCACCACCAGCTCTTCCTTTTTTACAAGTAACGATGAGAGGAACCTACATTTTAGGAATAAGCTCAGTATTGTCTCTCTCAACGCAAGATCAGTCGTGCAAAAGATGGCACACCTAAGACGTGTAACTGATGAGTTTGACACAGACGTATTGTGCACTACTGAATCTTGGGTTCATTCTCTAATTTCTGACTCAGCACTCAATATAGATAGCCTCAGTTTATATCGCCCGGATCGTGTCGAAACACGCGGCGGTGGATGCCTTCTTTACATAAGAGTCTCACTTGCACAGTCGCCTTATGACTTGAACATTTCCTCCTTCTCTGGAAATTTATGTTTCGCTTCGGTTATCCTTCCGCAAAATAGGAAAGCCTTAGTCAGGTGTGTATATAATCCTCCTTGTTCCTCCGGAAACGAAAGCCAACTCTGTGAAGTCTTTTAAAAAATTGCAGATACTCCTTTCGATGTCAAGATTATCGTAGGCAATTTTAATTTGCCAGAAATTGACTGGCACACACATACTTCTCCTCCTATATTCCAGAAGCTGCTTGACACCATTTGCTTTTCAAACTTATGTCAATTAGTCCAACCTTCGACCAGAAACGATAGTGTTTTAGACTTAATTTTTACTAATGGTACCTGCCCTCAATCTATGGATTTCTATCATTACCTTTTCGCAAGTGATCATACATCAATCCATTGACGCCTTCCAGTTGCCATTTCCGCAAAGCCAACAGTAAAACGTTGTATTTTTGACAAGAAATGAGTAAATAACTTTACAGGCACTCTTGATTGGCACAATATTTTTTTCAAATAATGATCTAAATTTTTTCAACAATTTATTACAATGCGTAACAGAAGGTCCTCTTGACCTTATTCCTCGAAGATGTTCAAATGGAGTGCTAATTCCACCACGGTCCCACACTTTCTTGAAAACACAGTTCAAAAGCTATGGGAGCACCTTAAAGATCCTTCTGCGAGCTCATTATTAGTTCACCTTAGAATCGTTGAAATATTTGAATTATCTTCGAAAGTGAGGCTCGCGCGAAATAGGCGTAGAGAGTCTTTAGCTCTTCATGATGTGAATGCTTCTAAATCAGTTACTCAGATCTGCCGTCAAAGATCATCTGCTAAATCCCACCAAGTCATTCCGCCTTTGCTTAATACAAGCGATGCCTTCATTATAGAGGAGTCAGGCAAAGCAGAAATTTTAAATTCTTTTTTTGCCAAACATTTCACCATTGAAAGTGACCCAAACCGTTTAATTCCTCTGTTGTCCGATGCTTCTATTAGTATCATTAATTTTTCATCTGGATGCTTTTAAAAACCGATAAACCATACTCCTAACTCTCACTCTGTAGGTATGGACAATATCCCAAACTCTTTTATACAACAGCTAAAAGATTTTCCTCCTCTGCTTAGCAAAATCTTTTCAGTATTTCTCGTAAATGGCTTCTTCCCGGACTATTGGAAAACTTCTATTATTATTCCTGTATTTAAGTCTGGCTATCGTTCTGACGTACAGAACTATCGAGGTGTCAATAAAACACCCTCTGCTGCCAAAACCTTTGAAAATATTATTGCCTTAAAAATTACCGAATTTTGCATAGCCAATCAAGGTATTAGCCCTTCCCAGCATGGTTTTTACTAGATCGCTCTTGTGAAACATGTCATTTGGCGTTTCTCAGTCTACTTACTTCTCTTCCTAATGACCATCTATCTGTTGTCGTTATTTATTTTGATCCTACTAAAGTCTTTGATAAAATGTGACATATAAGACTGTTGGTTAAATTGGAAGCTATGGGAATTCGCAGTTCACTAATAGACTTTCTCAGGTCATAACTGTATAATCGTAAACAAAAGATTTTTGTGGGATCTTCATTTTCCAGTGAAAGCCCTATTGTGAGCGGTGTCCTACAAGGCACCGTTTTAGGTCCTCTTTTGTTTCTGCTTTACATAAATGATATCTCGGCGGCAGTTAAGCATTCTCAGTCATTTATTAATGCCGATGATCTCAAATGTGCACATTCTTTCAATAAATCTACGAGCCTTCATTGTCTGGATTAAATCCATGCTGACTTGATTGCTCTCTCAGCTTGGAGCTCAAAATGGCTAATGGAATTCTCTCCGTCTAAATGTCGCTATATGTGTTTTGGACCTGATAGGCCACCCCAACAAGTGGTCTTTCAAGGCACAC